TTTTGACAGCCTTCCAAAGCCTATAAGAACTAGAAAAGACTGGAATCCATTTGAGAGAATATTTGAGTCACGGGGAAATGGTAGACACGGAACGGCAAAAATACACAAGATATTAATGGAACTTGACACCGACACAAAATTAAAGCACAAAGAGAAATGGGAAAGAGATATGGGAAGAATAATAGAGGAGGAGGAGCAGAGGAAAATGCTCACATTAATTCACGAAAATATTAGTATGAGGGAAGTAGAAATAAATTATAAGTGTTTGAATAAATGGCACATTACCCCTAATGTGGAGCACAAGATGAATACGGAAATTTCACGGATGTGTTGGAGAGGTTGTGGAGAGTGTGGGCACGTGGTATCATATGTGGTGGAGTGTCCAGAAATACAGGTGTTCTGGCGGAGGATAGTTTATTTGATAGGGAAAATTACCAAAATCAATATAGGATTAGATCCAGAACTATGTCTACTCCATATCTCAGTACTCTCAGTGAAAGCATATAAGAGTTCGGGGATATGGCATTACTTGACCGCAGCAAAGATCCTGATACCCAGGTTCTGGAAGAAAAGAGAGGTGCCAACTGAGGAGGATTGGATGGGTACAGTAAATCAGATTTCAGGGACAGAAAGATTGTACTATACGCATGAGGACAAGTTGGAGATGTAGAATACCAAATGGAAAGGCTGGGAAGAATATAGAAAAAGGTGAAATATATGAAGAGATAATATCCCTGGAAGTGGGTCTAGAATTGGGTTTAGGAATAACAGAATAATATGGACTTAATCAGAGAAGAGAAAATGTTGAGCGTGGGAGGGGGGGGGGGGGGGGGATAGGGGGATAGAGGTGGGGGGTCTGGGTGGGGGGGATGGTAAGAAAAGGAAGTTATATATAAATAAATTATATAAGGAAAAAATACGGTTTTGATAACTATTTTAATAGAAATGTTGAAATGTTTTGTATATGATTTGAAAAATTTATAAATATTTATAATAAAAAAAAAATGGGACCCACTCAAGTTAAAAACCCCTTCACCCACTACTCTCTTTTTCTTTTGTAACCTACGCCCTGCTCTACATCCCCTCCTCTTCTGGGGCTTCTTCTTCTGTTCGGTCCTGGGCTCCTGTCCCTCTCTAAAAAATCCCTTTCAAAGGTTCAAACCTATTAAACATCTGTATAGGACTCCTACCTCCTGCCTGTTGGTAATTCCATCCTTCCTGTGGATAATGCCTAGGGGATCCTGCATAATATTGCCTCTGATCCACTCTATCATAATAGTAGGAAGGTTGTTGTGGAGCATAATTATCTCTAGGGGGATATGGCGGTCTGAATGGTGGGTACTGGGTTCTCCAATAATTACTTTTCCCCTTTCCTTTCGCCTTTTTATTGTTATACGATCCCCCTTTATTTTGTTTCCCCCCATTCCTCGGCGTATACTGTGTATTACATATATAATACGTATTTGGGTTCCTATATGGTACTCCCTGTTGGTTAATGGGTATTCTAGGTGTAACTACCCTAACTTCCTTCACTGATGTGGTATTTGCCGATGCTACCTCGGTTGTATTGGATGCTGTTTGCCATTTAAAAACAGCATCTTTCTTAAAATCATTCAGGTCTCTTTGATATTTCTTGCTTTTCTTGTATTTCATTTCCTGATCTAATTTCTCTAGATCCTTATTCAATCTTTTAGTGAATCCTATCATTTCCTGTGACTCTTTGAATGGTTCCAATTTCTCCTTGATCTCACCAATCAATGACTCCATATTCCTCACTTGCACTATGCAGGGTCTCTGTTTGTGTCTTATCATGATCCTGTGAGGAGCTGGCTGTTAGTCTGTTGGAGGCTGGAGACGTGAGGGGAAAGCCTGAGAGGGACCCATTCTGATAGGATCACTTGATCCTCAAAGCGTGTTGACCCTGTGGGGTCTATTGAAGGAGGTGAGGGGGTATTTTGGCTGGTAAAGGATTGGCACGTGTGTACCACGTATACGGCACATTATATATTCTTGCATGAAGAGTGAAGTGTGAGGATCATCACAAATTATCGTATTACTATTATTATATCATTTTGGACTTTTTGAATTGATTATTTGTTCACTAATTTTGTGCACCAGTATACATATTGTTTCACAATGTGCAAATAGGAGTGTGTTTGTCACTTTTTTCACTAAATATTCCCCGTGAGGGAATTCACGTATGACACAACTATTTTATTATTTATGTATTGATTTATCACCTTGGATATATATATGTAGGGGATGTATATAGAGTTTGTGCATTTTAACACGTAATTTGTTAGTATTATTAGCGCTACACTATTTATTTTAATTGATCATTCACAGTGGGAAACTGCTGCTGTTGCCCCTGGCAACACTGGTGAAAGCTATGAATGTGCAGAGTACTAAGCCTGAAAGAGGATGCAGTGTTGGAAGTTCGGCCAAGATACTGCCGCAAGAGCGCTGTTTGCGGTGCAGTGAATGGGGGGCACACTGTCTCCAAGTGCCCTTTATCCCAGCTTCCAGTGCAAGGTGACCCAACCAGACAAAGGTCTGGGTATGCAATTGGGAAGCCTGTTTGGAGTTCCAGAAAGGAGCAGCAGGCTGCCCAAAAGTTTCAGAAGAATGTGGTTGTCCATAGCAACACTTGCGACTTCAGGCCTGCGGACCCTGTGAGAGAAGTGTTGTCTGCAGAGGATTGTCTCAACGCAGAGATGAGAGTTCAGTGCATCTGGAGGAACCCACAAAGTTCAGCTGGGAGAGTGCCATCTCCCATAGCAACAGGAGAAAGCCTACCAACCAGGAGAAGAAGCTACAAGGGAGATGTGGTTCCGTATCCCAAGAGTGTTATGTGTTAATACCCTGCCTGGAATGTGGTCAGTTTGGGCATGGTATCTTTACCTGTCCCAGATTATGGAATACCACTGATGATGGTGCTACTGGGCAAAAGTCTTCATCTGCAAGCCCAGATTCTTGCTTAAAGGTATTGGCAGCCACCTCTGGCAACAGTGAGGAAGTACCTGTTGTGCCTGCAGGGGGTGCCAAGGAGTCAGAAGTGCTGGCCACAATATCATCCTATAGCTGCATGGATGAAAGGGCTGGCCAAAGCCAAGCAGAGAGACTATGCACTCAAGTGAAGGCTATGACACATGCTTCAGGAAATGGTAAGACTGTTTCGGTTTATGGCAATGAGTCCAAGGAAGTGAAGTGTGTCCTTCAGGGCGTTCCACAATACAGATGGACATGGACTGGCTGCTGCGTGCTACCCTAAGTAGTGGGGAGGCACAGGGAGAAGCCCAACGATTAGCAGGACTAAATATGGAAAAGGACATGGGGACTCTGCATGTGCCTGCTATAATCCAGCAGATGGCTGGGGAAGTTAGACTAGGGGTGACCAAAATTGTCATGGCACCGTGTTCCCTAGTGAAAGGTGCTGCAGAGATGCCCAGGGAAACCTCCCAGGAGCCCGCAGTGACGGAGAGCAGAGGATTTCCCAGGTCAGCTATGGAGCTGCTAAAACTGAAAATAGTGTCCCTTTAAAGAGAGAGAGTGCTGTGGGGCATGGCTCACAGGCTGCTCAGCTGGGTAATAGCCAGGGACTACCCGCAAAAGCCACAGTCATGTCTATATGCAATGAGAATGCTGATGGGCATGCCAACAAAAGTGTTACTGTTGGTAAATGTAATGTTATGGTTGGTGATGGGCTAGCACAGCTCACTAGAGATAACAATGTTGATGTGAATATGATTAAAGATATGTTGTTGCCCTTGGCAACAGTGTCCAAGGCTGCAAAGGCTGTGTGTTGGAGCCAGAGGTTGCTTGGGACAACTATGGTGCTGCTCTGGACAAGAGAGTACTTGAACCAAGTGATAATTTAAATGCTAAAACTGAAATATTTGAAAATGCTCATGGTGATAAAGGGTTAACAGAGTCTGTCAGTACTGATGATAAAAGGTATGGAAGTGTTCATGAGTTTAATGAAGCGCCATCAGAGTACAGTGGTGAGGGTGTGGTATTGCAACCTGTTGAGGTTAAAAATTTAGTGCCACAGTTTGGTTTGAACAAAAGTGATATATGTGATGTGTCTGCTGAGCCACTCTGTCCTGTGTCTCCTCCGGCAGTTGGTGTGGTACTGTGTAGTACCTCTGATTGGAGCACAGAGAAAGTAAACTGGGACAGATGGGCTAAAAACCTGTTGGCTTTGTTGAAAGGGACCTCTGTTTCTAACAGTGGAGTGGACACGACTTCTGCTGTGCTAAATGGAGGGACTGCAGAGCCGCTTATAGACAAGGGCTCAGTTGCTGTTGCTGCAGATGGTCTCCCTCCCAAAATAGAAGGGCCAAGTGAGATTGAGCACATAGCAGAGATCGTGCCCACAAACCACAAAGGATCCAATGGTGTGGGAATGAATAGTGTGATACCAAATGAGCTGGTGTTAATGGAAGTGTCAGATGGCACAAATCAAGAGATTGGGGTCAGTAAACCAAATGTGGAATTATGTTATGGTCAGGTGTCAGGACAGTTGCTGAAAGAGGTTCATGGGCCAGTGGAGCTGGTGAATAGTGACGTTGCCATGGGAGACAACCACTCCGCTGTGTGCGCTCGGTCTCCAGACACTGCCCTGCCAAACACTGAAATCAGTTCAGACAAAGGTGTGGATGTTTCGGACCATGAGGAAAATAGCAAGGCCCTTTTAAATGTTGATATTTATGATGATGATGAGGAAAAGTGCGAGGCACTGGTAAATGTTGTTAAATACGATGATGAGGAAAAGTGCAAAGCACTGGTAAATGTCGATCATTTAGATTCTGTGGGTGACCATAAGCCTAAGGATGGACCTGAAGGTCATGTGGACATGCGTGCTGATTAGAGATGAGCGAATTATTCAAAAATTCGATTCGGCTGATTCGCCGAATTCGCGTAATAAATTCGATTCGAGGCGAATATATTCGCTGCGAATTTAACGTATAAAAAGGGTGTTTCTAGGCTTCAGAGAGCCTTTATATTAGTGCAGAACACTGTACCTTTAATTTAAATGCCCTTGGAGTCTGCTGGGGAAGAGAAATAATACTGTCAGTCAGTATGACATGCAGATGAGTGCCGTCGATCTTAGAATCACTGCACACTTTACTCATTTGGGCAGTCACGGGGCCAAAACCAGAGTGTGGAGCCACAGTGTGGCGGTGGAGGCAGCAGCAATGGGAGGCCATACAGCACCCTATGACAAAATGGAACCCACCAGCAGTGTGAGGAGACCTGAAAGTGGCACATGGCAGAGTGTGGCGATGGAGACAGCAGCAATGGGAGGCCGTACAGGGACCCATGACACACTCTGGACCTGGCAGCAGCATGAGGAGGCGGTACAGGGGCCCATGACAGATTACGGGCCTGGCAGCAGCATGAGGAGTTGGTACGGGGGCCCATGGCAGATTACGGGCCTGGCAGCAGCAATGGGAGGCCATACAGCACCCTATGACAAAATGGAACCCACCAGCAGTGTGAGGAGACCTGAAAGTGGCACATGGCAGAGTGTGGCGATGGAGACAGCAGCAATGGGAGGCCGTACAGGGACCCATGACACACTCTGGACCTGGCAGCAGCATGAGGAGGCGGTACAGGGGCCCATGACAGATTACGGGCCTGGCAGCAGCATGAGGAGTTGGTACGGGGGCCCATGGCAGATTACGGGCCTGGCAGCAGCAATGGGAGGCCATACAGCACCCTATGACAAAATGGAACCCACCAGCAGTGTGAGGAGACCTGAAAGTGGCACATGGCAGAGTGTGGCGATGGAGACAGCAGCAATGGGAGGCCGTACAGGGACCCATGACACACTCTGGACCTGGCAGCAGCATGAGGAGGCGGTACAGGGGCCCATGACAGATTACGGGCCTGGCAGCAGCATGAGGAGTCGGTACGGGGGCCCATGGCAGATTACGGGCCTGGCAGCAGCAATGGGAGGCCATACAGCACCCTATGACAAAATGGAACCCACCAGCAGTGTGAGGAGACCTGAAAGTGGCACATGGCAGAGTGTGGCGATGGAGACAGCAGCAATGGGAGGCCGTACAGGGACCCATGACTCACTCTGGACCTGGCAGCAGCATGAGGAGGCGGTACAGGGGCCCATGACAGATTACGGGCCTGGCAGCCATGAGGAGTCGGTACGGGGGCCCATGGCAGATTACGGGCCTGGCAGCAGCATGGGAGGCCATACAGATGACAAAATGGAACCCACCAGCAGTGTGAGGAGACCTGAAAGTGGCACATGGCCCATGGAGACAGCAGCAATGGGAGGCCGTACAGGGACCCATGACACACTCTGGACCTGGCAGCAGCATGAGGAGGCGGGGGGCCCATGACACGTTGGCCTAGCAGCACCCTATGCGCAGCAGCAATGGGAATACAGCACCCTATGACAAAAACCCACCAGCAATGTGAGGAGACCTGAAAGTGGCACATGGCAGAGTGTGGCGATGGAGACAGCAGCAATGGGAGGCCGTACAGGGACCCATGACACACTCTGGACCTGGCAGCAGTATGAGAAGGAGGTACAGGGCCCGTGGCACAGTGTGGTGATGGGGGCTACAGCAACTGGATGCCAGAAAGTGGCCGATAGGGCTATATACTGCATGACTACATAGGTGGTTTTTATAGTACTTTATTTTTGAAGGTAGCGAGGGTCCAACAAGGTGGACAGCCAAAAGTCATCCCTCTGTCTGATGTTTATTATTCGGCTGTCGCTACGCAAGCAACCGAGCATGCTATGGGCCATTTGTGCCAAGGAATGCGAGGGACTCCCTGCCTCCATCTCCACAGCATACTGCCACGGTGCGTCTGGGTCCTCTGTCTCCTCCTCCTCCTCCTCTACCAGATGCTCCTGCTCCTCCACTCCTGTCCGCTGAGTGGAAAAACCACACCCATTTCACTCAATAATTCCTGAGCACCAATGTCCTCCTCTACCTCCTCCTCTTCTTCCTGTCCTGCCCCCACAGGGGTCATGTGGCGTTGAGATCTGTGCGCCACGTCTACCGCACCCTGACCAGCCATTGTTAACAGCATTTGTTCCAGGACGTGCAACAGAGGAATGACGTCATTCATCCCATAGTCCTGCCGACTCACGAATAGCGTGGCCTCCTCAAAGGGCCTGAGCAAGCGGCAGGTGTCACGCATGAGCTGCCAATGGCTGACATCTAAGTTACACAGGGGAGTACCTTTATCCGCTTGTAACATCAGGAAATCGGTGATGGCCTTTTGCTGTTCGTAAAGGCGGTCTAACATATGTAGGGTTGAATTCCACCTTGTTGCAACGTCGCAGATCAGGCGATGCTGTGGAATTCCGTTCTGCCGCTGCAGCTCAAGAATGGCTGAAATGCATGCAAAGTTTACGTGACATTTTAAGGATGTCTTGCAGTGGGATGGTGGATTTTAGGAACCGCTTGACAACCAGATTGAACACGTGAGCCATGCATGGCGCATGGCACAACCTTCCTTGACGCAGAGCAGACACCATGTTCTTTCCGTTGTCGGTCAACATGGTTCCGATTTTCAGTTTGCGCGGAGACAGCCATCTGTCGATTTCTCTGTTCATTACACTCAGAAGTTCCTCCCCTGTGTGACTACGTTCGCCAAGGCATACCAGGTGCAGCCAGCGTGACACCGTTGCGCCCTGCACATGTGATATGCCGGTCGGGTAATGGGACTTGGCACGGGGGTGGCGGCTAAGGACACGGCGGAAGAAGAGGTGGTAGAGGCGGACATCTTTGCTGGACCAAGGACGTGCAAACGTGGAGGCAAAAGCGGCGTGACCTGTCCAAGTTGCTGGTGCGGCTGTGCCGGCACCACATTCACCCAGTGGGCCGTAAATGACATGTACTGTCCCTGACCGTAGTTACAGCTCCACACGTCGACGCTGCCGTGCACTTTGGCAGAGACCGACATGCTCAAAGACTGGCCCACCATCTCTTCTACATGTGAATGCAGGGCTGGCACTGCCTTTTTGGCGAAGAAATGCCGGCTTGGCACTCTCCACCGCGGCTCGGCACAAGCCATCATTTCTCAGAAAGGTGCTGAGTCCACCACTTGGAAAGGGAGGGACTGCAGCACCAGCAACTTGGACAGGAGGACGTTCAGCTTCTGCACCGTCGGGTGCGTGCTCGCAAACTGTTGTCTCTTGGAAACGGATTCCAAGAAAGACTGCTGACGGAATCCGTGAAGAGGAGTAGCAGGAGAAGGAGCATCTGAACGAACGGAAGATGCCAACGAGCGACAACTCCCCTCAGCAGAGGTGTTGGAGCCTTGACTGGCTGATAGAGGGCGATTGACGTCGGGTGACGGAGCAAGTAACGGAGCGGGTGATGGAGCGGGGGCTGGGGCAGGCAGAACCGCCGTATCTTTATCACGGTTTTCCCAGGCCACCGAATGGCGACGCTGCATATGCTGACGCAACGCTGTAGTCCCAACATGGGCCCCCTGGCCACGCTTGACTTTCTGGCCACATAGTCGACATACGGCTACGTTTACTTCCTCGGGCGGCTTGACGAAAAATTGCCACACCGCCGAGTAGGAAACTTTGCCCCCGCTACTCCTCACTGGCTGACTGCTACTTCCTCCGTGCACACCGGCACCACTACTGGCCGTGGTGGTAGGCTGCAGTGGAGCTGGTGCTCTACTCCGTGGCCGTTTGGCTCCACTGACACTGCTGCGACCCTGCTGCCTCCTGGGCAACCCACCGACTGTTTTGCTCGCTGCCAAGCTGCCACCCTCTTCTCCTGATGATGCGGAAGCAATAGCCTGATGACGACGAGGCTGCCAAGTGCGATCAGCCTCATCATCATCAATTAGGGTCTCCGCGTCACTACTAGCCCCCTCGGCTGCGTGTGGGTCAGGAGACAGACCTGTCTCTAGACCGGCTACCGAGCCACTCTCCTCGCCAGTACTTCTTCGCCTGGCTGCTGAAGAGGCGGATGTCTCCCCCCGTTCCTGACCGCCCTCTGTTAGCTCTTCCTCACTGTACAGTGGGGCTGAGCCCACAGCATGCGATACTTCGCTTGGTGAGGGAACACCAAAGGACAGGGGCAGGTAGAGGACACGTGCTTTCAGTGGGCTTGCTCCCGGGCCATGCCAACTAATGGTTGTGTCTGACGTACCCACCGACCGTTGGCTGTAGGTGTCAGAGGTGACCTGGGAAGAGGAAGACGACCGAGTCAACCAATCGATGACGGCAGGGTTGTCGGTGGAGACACGACCGCTGGATGACACCGGGAGCACTGGCCTCTGGCTGCGACTAGTGCTGCCTCGACCCCTTCCTCTGCTGCCACGTCTGCTCGCTCCTGAAACATTGCCTCCTCTGCCACTCCTCTGCGTGTTGTCTGACATACTCTTTAATTCAATAGTGGGTTGTGAAGCAGAAAGTAACGATTCTGTGTCCCTGAGTAACAATTCTGTGTCCCCGAGTAACGATTCTGTGTCCCTGAGTAACAATTCTGTGTCCCTGAGTAACGATTCTGTGTCCCTGAGTAACGATTCTGTGTCCCTGAGTAACAATTCTGTGTCCCTGAGTAACATTCTGTGTCCCCTGAGTAACAATTCTGTGTCCCTGAGTAACGATTCTGTGTCCCTGAGTAACGATTCTGTGTCCCTGAGTAACAATTCTGTGTCCCTGAGTAACAATTCTGTGTCCCTGAGTAACGATTCTGTGTCCCTGAGTAACGATTCTGTGTCCCTCAGTAACGATTCTGTGTCCCTGAGTAACGATTCTGTTCTGTGTCCCTGAGTAACGATTCTGTGTCCTCAGTAACAATTCTGTCCCTGAGTAACAATTCTGTGTCCCTGAGTAACGATTCTGTGTCCCTGAGTAACGATTCTGTGTCCCTCAGTAACGATTCTGTGTCCCTGAGTAACAATTCTGTGTCCCTGAGTAACGATTCTGTGTCCCTGAGTAACGATTCTGTGTCCCTCAGTAACAATTCTGTGTCCCTGAGTAACGATTCTGTGTCCCTGAGTAACAATTCTGTGTCCCTGAGTAACGATTCTGTGTCCCTGAGTAACAATTCTGTGTCCCTAAGTAACAATTCTGTGTCCCTGAGTAATGATTCTGTGTCCCTGAGTAACGATTCTGTGTCCTGAGTAACGATTCTTGTGTCCCTCAGTAACGATTCTGTGTCCCTGAGTAACAATTCTGTGTCCCTGAGTAACGATTCTGTGTCCCTCAGTAACGATTCTGTGTCCCTCAGTAACGATTCTGTGTCCCTCAGTAACGATTCTGTGTCCTGAGTAACAATTCTGTGTCCCTGAGTAACAATTCTGTGTCCCTGAGTAACAATTCTGTGTCCCTGAGTAATGATTCTGTGTCCCTCAGTAACAATTCTGTGTCCCTGAGTAACAATTCTGTGTCCCTGAGTAACAATTCTGTGTCCCTGAGTAACGATTCTGTGTCCCTGAGTAACAATTCTGTGTCCCTGAGTAACGATTCTGTGTCCCTGAGTAACAATTCTGTGTCCCTGAGTAACAATTCTGTGTCTGTCCCTGAGTAACGATTCTGTGTCCCTGAGTAACGATTCTGTGTCCCTGAGTAACGATTCTGTGTCCCTCAGTAACAATTCCCTAAAGTCTCTGTGGCCCTAA